AACTCAGGTATGATATTTATAGCAGAGCTAGTATGTCCAGCTTGGCACAAGGTTTGAATGCACCATACCTGTGGGATCCCCATGGAAGCTGGAAATCAGTGTAGTAGTCACCACTACTATGGTGATCACAGCTGTCTTCTGGGTCCCATGAAGCCGGAAGCCGCTGGGTTCCGTGAGTCTTGCTGCATAGTGGCCACAGGGGGTCGCTTGCTCAGCACGGTTGCCATTCACAGAACTTGGCTTGGCAACACATTCCCTGAGTGGATGAGGTGGAGATGGTGATGTCACTGCGCCACCTATTCACTTTGTCCAATCAAGGGAAACTTAGTTTGAAAAAAAAAAATGCAAGGCGTTCTGTGATTGGTGTCTGTGCTGAGCCATTGAGACCCTGTGGTCACTATGCAGCAGGGCAGTTGCTTGCCACGGGAGATATCGAGGATCACTAGATTAGCGGTGCCAGCTACAGTGATTTCCAGCTTCCCTAGGGATCCCACAGGTATGGCCCATACACACTTCCATTGGACCAATCCATATCTGGAGTTCAGCTTTTAAATGGTAGTTTATATATACATAGTATGTATATCATTAAAGCGGAGTACCACCCAAAAGTGGACGCTCTGCTTTTCTGCCTCCTCCCGCCCTCCGCTGACACATTTGGCACTTGTTTTGGGGGGAAGAGGGGGGAGCAGGTATCTGGTTTTGATAGGTACCCGCTCCTGCTTCCGGCTCAAAGATACTTTGAAGATTTCCTACGTGAACACATTTATTTATTTATTGTGGTTCTTATTGCAGCACCCTCCAATGAACCCCATTTATCTTCTTTCATGAGAATCTACCCTCTACAATGAGTAAACTAGGTGAGACTTTTTTTTTTTTTATAAAAATGTATAACTTTTTTTTTTATAAAGTTGTGTTTTTTAACAGGGGTCTCTGAACTTTCTAAATAAAGAGCCAGTTTACTGTCCTTCAAACTTTAGGAGGGCCGGACTGTGGCCAGTGGGAGTAGAAAATGTCTACAGCTCAGTGGGCGAAAAAAAAAAAAATTAGAAGAATAGTGTCCCATCATTGGTATTAGTGGGAGGAATAGTGCCCAATCATTGGTATTAGTGGGAGGAATAGTGTCCCATCATTGGTGTCAGTGGGAGGAATAGTGTCCCATCATTGGTGTCAGTGGGATGAATAGTGTCCCATCATTGGTATCAGTGGGATGAATAGTGTCCCATCATTGGTATTAGTGGGAGGAATATGTCCCATCATTGGTATCAGTGGGATGAATAGTGTCCCATCATTGGTATCAGTGGGATGAATAGTGTCCCCATCATTGGTATCAGTGGGGAGAATAGTGCTCCATCATTGGTATTAGTGGGGAGAATAGTGCTCCATCATTGGTATTAGTGGGAGGAATAGTGCCCCATCATTGGTATTAGTGGGGAGAATAGTGCTCCATCATTGGTATTAGTGGGAGGAATAGTGTCCCATCATTGGTATTAGTGGGGAGAATAGTGCTACATCATTGGTATTAGTGGGAGGAATAGTGCCCCATCATTGGTATTAGTGGGGAGAATAGTGCTCCATCATTGCTATTAGTGGGCAGAATAGTGCCCCATCATTGGTATCAGTGGGAAGGTATAGTGGCCCATCATTGGTATCCGTGGGAAGAATAGTGCCCCATCATTGGTGTCAGTGGAAAAAATAGTGCCCCATTGTTGATATCAGTTGGAAGGTATAGTGACCCATCATTCGTATCAGTAGTAAGAATAGTGCCCCATTGTTGGTGTCGGTGGAAAAAATAGTACCCCATCGTTGGTGTCAATTGGAAGAATGGTGCCCCATCGTTGGTGTCCGAGAGAAGAATAGTGGCCCATCATTGGTGTTAGTGGAAGGAATAGTGCCTCATCTTTGGTGTCAGTGGAAGAAATAGTGCCCCATCATTGGCATCAGAGGGAAGAATAGTGGCCTATCTTTGGTGTCAGTGGGAGGAATAGTGCCCCTTCGTTGGCTTCAGAGGGAAGAATAGTGACCCATCATTGGTGTCAGTGGAAGGAATAGTGTACCAGCATACAGTGTGTGTGTGTGTGTGTGTGTGTGTGTGTGTGTATATATATATATATATATATATATATATATTAGAGGAAGGAAGTAAGCCTCTTTGATGGTGCCATTGAATTACATAGGGCCCTGCTGTTGGTGTAAGGGAAAAACTGGTACCTCATATTTGATGTCAGTAGGAGCAATAAAGCCTTGTTTCAATGAGAGGAATAGTGCCCCAAGGGTCTGATTGCAGCGACCAATTCCCAGGGACAGACTGTCACCAAGAATTGTTTTTGGGAATGCCCTTGATTCCAGTTACAGTGAGGTTGGTTGCACTACATGTTACATGTTGCCATGCTTGGCGGAGTAAGAGCAATAATTCTATTATTTAAATTGGTGACATGGAAGGGCTTTTAAAGTGTCTATTGAAAATTGTATAAAGTTGTGGAATAGTTTAAAGCAGGGTTGGGTTATAAAAAAATATCCCAAGCTTTTCACATCTCACAGATGACTGTTCAATCCATCATTCGAAAATGGAAAGAGTACGGCACAACTGTATACCTACCAAGACATGGCCGTCCACCTAAACTGACAGGCCGGGCAAGGAGAGCACTAATCAGAACAGCTCAGAGGCCCATGGTAACGCTGGAGAAGCTGCAAAGATCCACAGCTCAGGCGGGAGAATCTGTCCACAGGACAACTATTAGTTTTACACTCCACAAATCTGGCCTTTATGGAAGAGTGGCAAGAAGAAAGCCATTGTTGAAAGAAAGCCATAAGAAGTCCCATTTGCAGTTTGAGAGAAGCCATGTGGGGGACACAGCAAACGTGGAAGAAGGTGCTCTGGTCACATGAGACCAAAATTGAACTTTGTGGTCTAAAAACAAAACGCTATGTGTGGAGGAAAATGAACACTGCACATCACTCTGAAAACACCATCCCCACCGTGAAACATGGTGATGGCAGCATCATGTTGTGTGGATGCTTTTTTTTTTTTTTTTTAGCAGGGACAGGGAAGCTGGTCAGAGTTGATGTGAAGATGGATGGAGCCAAATACAGGGCCATCTTAGAAGAAAACCTGTTAGAGTCTGCAAAAGACTTGAGCCTGGGGTGGAGGTTCACCTTCCAGCAGTATAATGGCCCGAAACATCCAACCAGAGCTACAATGGAATGGTTTGGATCAAAGCATATTCATGTGTTACAATGGCCCAGTCACAGTCCAGACCTAAATCCAATTGAGAATCTGTGGCAAGAGTTGATAATTGCTGTTCCCAGATGCTCTCCATCCAATCTGACAGAGCTTGAGCTATTCTGCAAAGAAGAATGGGCAAAAATTTCACTCTCTAGATATTTAAAGCTGGTAGAGATCTCCCCAAAAAGACTTGCAGCTGTAATTGCAGCAAAAGGTGGATCTACAAAGTATTGACTCTGGGGGGCTGAATACAAATGCACCCCACACTTTTCACATTAATTTATTTGTAAAAAGTTTTGAAAACCATTTATCATTTTCCTTCCACTTCACAATTATGTGCCACTCTGTGTTGGTCTATCACGTAAAATCCCAATAAAATACATTTACGTTTTTGGTTGTAACATGATATAATGTGGAAAATTTCAAGGAGTATGAATACTTTTTCAAGACACTGTATTAATCGAACACAATAATAAAATAATTATGGAAAAAAACATAAATACAATCTTTACCAGCAGCTAAACACCCAAATGCATGTCTCATATAACTTAGCATACAACATAAAACTGATAACTGTTGCAGCGCTTAGTGTGGATACATAGAAATCAATATTAGTGCATTAACCTACCACACTAAAATAAAAAAACTTTTTAAATCAAGGCTGCAAAGGTCCTTTCTGTTCAATAAATAAATCCTTGCGTTGTGACACCCTGTGCTCACATAAACTGCATGCTGTGATCACCTCCACCAGATGTCTGCTCACCTCCACAATATGACCTCACATAATTATACTTTTTATTATTATTATACAGTATTTATAAAGTGCCAATAGTTCGCTCAGCGCTGTACATTACAAAGGGGGACAGAACATGTGACAGAACAATACCAATACAATGCAAAACATGAGGGGATCGAGGGCCCTGCTCTTTCGAGCTTACAATCTAGGAGGGAGGGGATGGTGGCACAGGAGGAGATAGCTGTGGGGGATGGAGTGGTAGGACGAGTGGAGGAGGTCGGCAAGTTAGCAGGGGGTGGGGTAGGCTTCCCTGAAGAGATGGGTTTTCAGGGTGCGCCTAAAGGAGAGGAGAGTAGGTGATAATCTGATGGGTTGGGGCAGGGAGTTCCAGAGGATGGGTGACACCCTGGAGAAGTCCTGGAGGCGGGATGGGAGGAGGAGACCAGGGAACTAGAGAGAAGGAGGTCTTGTGAGGAGCGGAGTGTGCTTGCTGGGCGGTACTTGGATATTAGGTCGGTGATGTAGTTCTGGGCAGTATGGTGGACAGCTTTGTACGTCAATACTCACTTTTTGTCCCCTTAATGGATGCTTCAGATCTCCTAGGTGGACTTGGATCAAAAGTTTCACAGCTTTCGTGGAACTCCTTCCCATAGAACACTCTACCTCATACAAATAGACCAAACATAGTGCTTTATCCTTATAAAACTTTTATTAAACCCTTAAAATATATAAAATTTGCCCTCACATGTATTAGTTGCCCAATCGCACCAGATATAAACAGCATATGATAATGAGAGAAAACAGCGGCCCTGCGCAATGCCACATCCACGGCCAATTAAGTGACCGCACACACTACCCAGTAGAACGTCGTGACGTCATCCGAGGCCCGCCCCAACGTGTTTCATCACCACACATGTGACTTCTTTAGGGGGATCATGATTCACTGACCATTAATACATGTGAGTGCAAATTTTATATGTTTTAAGGATGTTACATGTGCTGATGCTTCTGTTGCTTTTTAAACTTTTCTTTTTCCCACTAACAGATCTCCCAGCTGGAGATCCACTGGATCTCCCACTTTCCATTCTAGAAGTTGGCATAGCAGGACGATTGGAACTGATCACAAAACCTCCAACATCAAATGGTCCTGCTTTCCCGTTATCTACGGTAGGTCTGTTTCTGTATCAGGTTTTTGTTCCCTACTAACATAATTCTGATCCCTTCTTGTTTTACTGCTCCAGATTCCTAATGGTTTGCCTCCATATGATGTTGATCTGTCTTCCGAAGTGATCCAGAAATATCTTAGTGACCCGGAGTGGCTTTCTGTCCATGATTTTGACTGGAGCCAGAGGTAAAGACCGTACCGTGTGTGATAATGGGCATCCCTGATGGCCAGTGAAAGTAGCTTTTTCTTGCTATGAAAAACGTTTCAAATGAATAGCCGAATAAAAAATTTGCTGCAATATTCAGCTTCAATCCAGGGATTTCCTCTACAGTACTTTTTTACTGCCAGATGTCCTCTGTTTGATTACTAGCAGGCCTGGACTGGGACAAAAAAATCGGCCTAGGCATTTGGGACTGAGCAGCCCCAAGCCCAGGGACCCTTTCCTTGGAGCCCAGTGGCGTAACACCAGAGCCCGGTTGCAAGAGCAACCTTTGTGCCCGTGGTAGTTCCGCCATTAGCGTCAGTAGGTTTTTATTTTTGTTTAACTTTTTACAATTTTATATTTTATTAGTTTTTCATAAGAGAGAAGGAAGGAAAGAAAGAGAGAAGAAAAGAAAGAAAGAGGAAACAAAGAGAGAGAAATATAGAAATAAAGAAACAGGAGACAGAGAGAGAAATATAGAAAGAAAGAAAGGAGAGAAATAGGAGACAGAACGAAGGAAGGGAGAGAAACAGGAGACAGAGAGAGAAATATAGAAAGAAAGAAGGATAGCGAGAGAAAGAAAGAGAGAAAGGAGGGAGAGAGAGGAGAGAAAGTAGAAGAATAGAAAGAAAGTGAAGGGGAAGAGAAGACACAAGGCTGGCAGGGATTGTGGGCAGGGGAAGACACAGGAGGAAATGGCAGGAGAAGGGACAGAACCAGCTTTCTCTTTCTCCCCCGTCTGTGGTGGGCTGGGAACTGTCAGCACAAGGGACAGAATATGCAGACAGAAGCTCCACAGCTGCTGCAGGGAGGGGGGAACCCAGGGCAGCATTGCAGGAGATGGGGGGGCAGCCGCGAGGGAGCATACAGGAGCCCAGGCATGCAGGAGATGGATAGGAGGGACGGCCGGTTGGCATATAGAGGAACCTAGAAATGCACGGTCCGGTTCTTCTATGTGCCACCTGGCCACCCCTCCTATCCAGGCGGCCCTGGCGTGCCTTATGGCCAGTCCAGGCCTGATTACTAGCATCATTCCACCCACTTCCTCTGAGCCCAGGTCATCCTTGATCCACCCCTCAGCCTGTGACTAGACAGTAAAAGAAAAAGCAGCCTAGTGATGAGCGCATCTTTTACTGTGTCTCTCTCTCCTGTCCGCAGGCTTATAGCACATAAACTGATTGGCTCCTTACAGCTTTTTTCTCTGACACTGCAGCCCTGTTGTACAGGAACTCTTAGAATCTGCTACTAGGTCCAATTCAGATACTTACATGCATTTGTTTAAAAAATATAAATGAATATAAATGAAGGAGTGCGGAGTTGTTTCCCAGCTGCTGTAACTAGGAGGAAACTAATGGAGCATGATTTGTGGTCCATTAGCTTCAGCGGAGTAAAGGGTCAAATTCAGGGGTCTACTAGATAGAAGCTGTTGCTATTCCTTTTCTGGGGACAACCCAAAATGTAGGATTTTCTTTCACTTTCTGTATCAGTTATAACAGTAAACAGGACAAATAGAGGGAATGGATCTTCTTCATGGTGGGGGGGGGGGGGGGGTACATCCAAAATTAAAGAGATCATTTTACCCTTAGTTATACTTTAAAGTGGTTGTAAGCCCTTCCATATACCCAGTGAAGTGACTGACCTCAGGTGATGCACAAAAATGAAAGAAATCCTCCTACATAAGTTGTACCTGTTTACTTGCAGTCTTCTCTTCTCTACATCACTTCAAAGTGCTGAATTTATCAAGCTTGTCTGAGAGTGCAGAGAAAAAAAAAGGGGAGAACTGAAATAACACTGTAGAGCTCAGTGAGGAGAGCTCTGAGAGCTGATTGAAGGAACGAGACCCCCCCCCCCCCTCTCCTTTCCACACAGCTCACAGGAATAAAGCTGAGGCTGTCTATCTACTGGAAGTCCCTCCCTGTCACCATTTTTTCTCTCGGTGTCAGGAAAACTTGCTGATAGCATAGGATTGAAGCAGCAGACAGAAATGACACTTAGTGCTCTGGACTGAGACAGGTACACACTATGGAGGGATATGCTTTGTTCATACTTCATGTCTGAGATTTACAACCACTGTAAGCATCAGCTGTGACAATTGAGTTATTTTTTGGCCTCTTAAGTGACAAGAGTCCATCAGTGCTAATAGAGTTTTGTGAACAAGTGATAAGTGGGGCCCAGTCTGTCCAAGTAATGCAGTAAATCTCAACACTCGAAAAATTAATCCAAGAATGTCACCCTGGCTGTCATTTTTTTGGTATCTGCCATGTATGGGCTGTTCTCCAGCAGGATATTATTGTGCGTATTGTGTTTTATGTCACAGGCCTATATCATTCTGTTTTAGAAAACTGGCTAAAAGATCGTATTTAGAGAGTAGTGGTTAATGAATTCATATTCTGAATGGTCTAGGGGTCATCAGTAGTGTACCCCAGGGTTCAGTGTTGGGACCCTTACTTTTTAATATATTTATAAACAATATAGGGTCTGAGATTAAAAATCCCATTTCAGTCTTTGCAGATGACACCTAGCTGTGCAGTGGAATAACGTCCTTACAGGATGTCTCCAAATTACAAGCCGACCTCAATGCTCTCTATAATTGGGCAATTATGTGGCAAATGAGGTTTAATGTTGATAAATGTAAGGTTCTGCACTTGGGGGCTAAGAATATGCATGCATCATACATACTAGGGGGGGGAAGTACAACTGGGGGAATCAATAGTGGAGAAGCATCTGGGAGTTCTGGTAGATCACAAGCTTAGTAATGGCATGCAATGCCAAGCTGCGGGTTCTAAAGTGAGCAAAATCCTCTCTTGTATTAAAAGAGGTATAGACTCCAGAGAGAGAGATATCATTTCCCCCGGTACAAATCATTAGTAAGACCTCATCTGGAATATGCAGTTCAGTTTTGGGCACCAATTCACAAAAAGAACATTGGGGAACTGGAGAAAGTACTGAGAAGGGCAACCAAACTGATAAGAGGCATGGAGGAGCTCAGCTATGAGGAAAGATTAGAGGAACTGAATTTATTCTCTCTTGAGAAGAGGAGATTAAGGGGGGATATGATCTCCATGTATAATACATAAGGGGGGATATCACCATGATCTCCATGTATAACACATAAGGGGGGATATGATCACCATGTATAATACATAAGGGGGGATATGATCTCCATGTATAATACATAAGGGGGGATATGATCACCATGTATAATACATAAGGGGGATATGATCTCCATGTATCTTATGATCTCCATGTATAATACATAAGGGGGATATGATCTCCATGTATAATACATAAGGGGGGATATGATCTCCATGTATAATACATAAGGGGGGGGATATGATCTCCCATGTATAATACATAAGGGGGGATATGATCTCCATGTATAACATAACAAATAAGGGGGGATATATGATCTCCATGTATAACACATAAGGGGGGATATGATCTCCATGTATAATACATAAGGGGGGATATGATCTCCATGTATAATACATAAGGGGGGATATGATCTCCATGTATAATACATAAGGGGGGATATGATCACCATGTATAATACATAAGGGGGGATATGATCTCCATGTATAATACATAAGGGGGGATATGATCTCCATGTATAATACATAAGGGGGGATATGATTCTTCATGTATAATACATAAGGGGGGATATGATCTCCATGTATAATACATAAGGGGGGATATGATCTCCATGTATAATACATAAGGGGGGGGATATGATCTCCATGTATAATACATAAGGGGGGATATGATCTCCATGTATAATACATAAGGGGGGATATGATCTCCATGTATAATACATAAGGGGGGATATGATCTCCATGTATAACACATAAGGGGGGATATGATCTCCATGTATAAACACATAAGGGGGGATATGATCTCCATGTATAATACATAAGGGGGGATATGATCTCCATGTATAACACATAAGGGGGGATATGATCTCCATGTATAATACATAAGGGGGGATATGATCTCCATGTATAACACATAAGGGGGGATATGATCTCCATGTATAATACATAAGGGGGGATATGATCTCCATGTATAATACATAAGGGGGGATATGATGATCACCATGTATAATACATAAGGGGGGATATGATCTCCATGTATAATATCACATAAGGGGGGATATGATCTCCATATCTATAACCATAAATACATAAGGGGGGATATGATCTCCATGTATAATACATAAGGGGGATATGATCTCCATGTATAAATAATACATCAGTGGTTCATATAGTGAACTCGGTGTAGAGCTTATTCACCCTGAGGTCATCACAGAGGACAAGGGGGCACTCTTTACATCTGGAGGAAAAGAGATTTAATCTCCAAACACGGAAAGGTTTTTTCATTCACAGTAAGAGCTGTGAAAATGTGGAATAGACTCCCTCAAGAGTTGGTTCTGGCCAGCTCAGTGGATTGCTTTAAAAAAGTCCTGGATTCTTTCTTGGATACACAGAATATAACTGGATACTAACATTTATAGGTAAAGTTGATCCAGGGAATATCCGATTGCCTCTCGGGGGTCAGGAAGGAATTTTTTTCCCAGCAGGAGCAAATTTTCTGGATCAACTGTGGGTGTAGGATTATAACTTTTTTTTTTTTTATGGTTGAACTGAATGGACTTTTGTTTTTTTTTCGGCCAGACTATGTAACTATATATAATGCATAATGTGAAAAATTCAAATGGATATGTTGTAAAATAATTTTCACTATAGGAATATAGGATAAACAAAACCCCAGGGATCCATTGCTCTTTATAAACTTAGATACCAGTCTGTGAGACTCTGATTGGCTGCCCCAAGTGACCGTCTCTGTCCAGCAGCCAAAGCTGTAGAAAACACATTATTGACCACTGGTCAATGTCATGGCTCTGCAACCTGGTAGGTGTCCAAGTTCTCTCGAATGAGGCTGAAGCACAAGCATAGGCCGATCTCTCAGCAGTGCACCATGACATGACTTACTCAATATAGTCCCCCACCAGCAACACAAAAAAGATAGTATTGTAAAATATTTTAGTCGGAATAATCGGTGTTTATGCTTTTAGCCAGTAAAATTCAGGCCTCCCTGTCTGTTCTTGCTCTGCCAGGTCCTGGCCTCGTACCAAGGATGTGAGCTCCCTGTTCCACATGGACATCAGTGCTCCACAGACTGATATCAGCATGGAGCGTAACTCTGCTACAGGAGAACTGCGTGGAATCAGTGAGGTGAGGCACAGGCAGTGGAATGTGTCATACAGAAAAAGGTTACAGAAAATTATTATTATATACCTAAGGAAATGTCTAAATACGACAGGCAGGTGTAGTCTTGTCATTTGTGTATTTCTTCCAGATCTGTGCAGAATTCCAATGTGAAACTTTACCTCTGTGCAGGAGCTTCCTGTAATAAAGACCACTCACTGCTGTGCTATCTACTTGTGCAGGATGATTGGTCTTGTCTCCACCCCTCCTGTAGTTCTCTGCAGACAGCCTGTAGTGGGTGGTGCCTGCTGGACCCCTTCCACAGCTCTGCTGCCTGCATAGTCTATGTGGTTATATACACCACAGTGATGATGTCACCACTACTTTTACAAGGTAATATCTAGGTCTGTAAAGGCATTTGGTGCGCACAAAGTGATTTTCTATCCTTTATGGCTATTGATTATTATATGTGCCTGATTCAGCTTAACGGCCAGACAGTGGCCATTGGAAGAAAATACTCCAGCATCAGTAGGATCAACTTGGTTCATTTGAAGTAAAAAGTGATCAGTGGAAAGACTTGTGAGCCATTGTTGGTGTCTGTGGTGAGAATTGTGACCCATTATTTGGTGTCTGTGGTGAGAATTGTGACCCATTATTGGTGTCTGTGGTGAGAATTGTGACCCATTATTGGTGTCATTGGGAGGAATAGTGCCCCATCATTGGTATTAGTGAGAGGAATAGTGCCCCATCATTGGTATCAGTGGAAGGAATAGTGTCCCATCATTGGGAGGAATAGTGCCCCATCTTTGGTGATAGTGGGAGGAATAGTGTCCCATCATTGGTATCAGTGGGAGGAATAGTGTCCCATCATTGGTATCAGTGAAAGGAATAGTGTCCCATCATTGGTGTCAGTGGAAGGAATAGTGCCCCATCATTGGTATCAGTGGAAGGAATAGTGCCCCATCATTGGTATCAATGGGAGGAATAGTGTCCCATCATTGGTATTAGTGGGAGGAATAGTGTCCCATCATTGGTATCAGTGGAAGAATAGTGTCCCATCATTGGTATCAGTGGAAGGAATAGTGCCCCATCATTGGTATCAGTGGGAAATAGTGTCCCATCATTGGTATCAGTGGGAGGAATAGTGTAACATCATTGGTATCAGTGGGAGGAATAGTGTCCCGTCATTGGTATCAGTGGGAGGAATAGTGTCCCATCATTGGTAAGTGGAAGGAATAGTGCCCATCATCATTGGTATCAGTGGAAGGAATAGTGCCCCATCATTGGTATCAGTGGGAGGAATAGTGCCCCATCCTTGGTATTAGGGAATAGTACCCCATCATTGGTATTAGTGGAAGGAATAGTGCCCCATCATTGGTATTAGTGGAAGGAATTGTGTCCCATCATTGGTATTAGTGGAAGGAATAGTGCCCCTTTTTGGTGGTGTCAGTGGGAGGAATTGTGCACCATCGTTGGTTTCATTCGCAGGAATGGCACCCCCTTTGTTGTTGTCAGTAGGAGGAATAGTGACCCATTGTTGGTAACAAGGGTAGGAATAGTGTCCCATCATTGGTATCAGTGGAAGGAATAGTGTCCCATCATTGGCATCAGTGGGAGGAATAGTGTCCCATCATTGGTATCAGTGGGAGGAATAGTGTCCCATCATTGGTATCAGTGGGAGGAATAGTGTCCCATCATTGGTATCAGTGGGAGGAATAGTGTCCCATCATTGGTATCAGTGGGAGGAATAGTGTCCCATCATTGGTATCAGTGGAAGGAATAGTGTCCCATCATTGGTATCAGTGGGAGGAATAGTGCCCCTTCATTGGTATCAGTGGGAAGGAATAGTGTCCCATCACTGGTATCAGTGGGAGGAATAGTGCCCCTTCATTGGTATTAGTGGAAGGAATAGTGCCCCATCATTGGTATTAGTGGGATGAATAGTGCCCCATCATTGGTATTAGTGGAAGGAATTGTATCCCATCATTGGTATTAGTGGAAGGAATAGTGCCCCTCTTTGGTGGGTTCAGTGGGAGGAATTGTACACCATCGTTGGTTTCATTCGGAGGAATGGCACCCCCTTTGTTGTTGTCAGTGGGAGGAATAGTGACCCATTGTTGGTAACAAGGTTAGGAATAGTGTCCCAAGAGCCCGTTAAATGCTGACAAAGGGCTGTGGTTTGGGGACCACTGTATACCTTAAAAATAGGCACCACAATGTGCCTGCAAGAACCTACAGATCATTTTGTCTGTGCCATGGGCTGTCACGTAAACAGACTGAGGTTTGGAATGCTGAATCAGATTAGAGATGTTGGTTTATTGTTAGAGTCATGGCCAAAAATATAGGCACCCCTGCATTTCTGTCTGACACTCTGCCCCGAAAATTGTTGTAATTAGAAATGTTTCGGAATTCTCATGTTTATTTCTTGTTTGTATTGATATGACACAAAATGTTGGAGAAACAAAAAGCCAAAACATCCAAAAAATCCACAAAAATGCCATTCCAACCCATGGCACTGTAGCTAATTTCCCTAGATGTGGATGACAGAGAAAAAATGATCAAAGATTGCAACAAAGGATTGCTCGAATGGTGGATAAAGTACCTTGATGAACTTTTAGACAAATTCAAGCTGACCTTCAGGCACAGGGTACAACTGTGTCAGCTCGCATTATACGTCACCATCTGAATGAAAAGGGACGCTATGTAGGAGACCCAGGAGGACCCCACTGCTGACACAGAAACATAAAAAAAACCAGATTGGAGTTTGCCAAAACTTACCTGAGAGAGCCATCCTTTTGGGAGAATGTGCTGTGGACAGATGAAACAAAATGACAGCTTTTTGGTAAAGCCCATCATTCTACTGGTTTCAGAAATGAGTCCTTTAAAGAAAAGAATACAGTCCTTAAAGTCAAACATGGTGGAGGTTCACTGATGTTTTGGGGTTGCTTTGCTGCTTCAGGCACTGGTTGTCTTGACCGTGTACATGGCATTATGAAATCTGAAGACAACCAAAGAATTCTGGGGTGCAATGTAGGAACCAGTGTCAGAAAGTTGGGTCTCCATCAGAGGTCATGGGTCTTACAGCATTACAATGACCCAAAGCACACGTCAAAAAGCACCCAGAAATGGTTTCACACAAAGCGCTGGAGAGGACTGAACTCAGTCCCATAGAACACACTGTGGAGAGATCTCAGAACAGTAGTTGGGAAAAGGAACCCTTCCAGTGTGAGAGACCTGGAGCAGTTGGCAAAGAAGAGCGCTCCAAAATTCCAGCAGAGAGGTGTAAGAAACTCATTGATGGTGACAGGAAGCCATTGATTTCAGTTATTTTTCCCAAGGGGCGTGCTACCAAATATTATATTGAGGGTGGCAACAATTTTGTCCAGTCCATTTTTGGGTGGAATGTGTCAGACTTGGCTTTTTGTTTCTCAACTTTTTTTTCATACCAGTACAAACCAACGAAGTAAACAACATGAGAATGCCGAAACATTTGTAATTGCAACAATTTTCTGGGCAAAGTGCTGCATTATCTGACAGAAATACAGGGGTGCTGATATTTTTGGCCATGATTGTAAATAAGATACACCTTCTGACCCTTTATTTCTCATCAGGTCTCTGCAGATCACATCGGTCTCTCAGCACAGAATTCTTTGTCCCTACGACGACCTCCTGGTCCCCCTTCTCAGTCCGTCAAGGGCAGCACATCCAACTTCCCTTTTTGGCCAGGTAAACTGGAAAGCCACAAGCTTTGCA